TGAATGAGGAGTCCACTGGGCAGAGACACAGAATTTCATGCAGAAGAATCAACATGAAGAAAGGCATGATTATTAAAATACGCAGTATGTTCGGAACCGAAGGAAGCGTTGTGTGGAGAGATGGGAGGGATGACAGATGAGATTTAAAGGCTAAGCTGATAATGAGTTCCTAGGAGGTCACGAATGTCATGCGACGAAATTCACATTTCATCTTAAAGGGAAGGAAAAGCTAACAAAATCCTTTAAATGTTTCCTTTCATTTCATCATATTCATTCATTACTCCGGAAAACACCAAGAGTATTATTTTTTAAACAAGAAGTACCAATCGCCCTCTTATTGTCAACATCTCCATTTTTGCTTTATTTACTACTAGTCTTTGTTGACAGGCACCATTTTCACCATTATTTTGTAATCAGTGTGTCTAGACAATTTTGAATTATGAACTTTAGTGTATTAGAAACACTCTTCCGTACTTCCGCATACTGTCAGGTTTTTTCAGGAATAATTCAGTCAGATCCTTCCTTTAAGAAAGTAATTCTGAAAATAGTAGGACGAACGGAACACAGAAAGATTTAAGACAAGAATACACTTTTGGAAGTGGCTGCAGTGGTCCAGGCAAATGATGCTACAGCCTGAAAGAGAACAAGGGCGAGGAGACAGGGAGAAGGGGTCGACTGTAACAGATTTAAGAGGCAAAACCGCAGTACGTGGTCAAGGGATGAAGTACAGGAAGAGGAGGAGGTGACCAGCATCGATGATGAGCTGGTTGGCGATCCTGTTTCTCTAAACAAAGAATCCATAAAGGGAGACAGGAGAGTGAGTGACAAGTACAGGTTTAGACTCAAGTTGCCGACACCTTTGTAATATTCCAATTGGAGCTGTCGGGGAGGAAGTTGGAAACCAATGACCTTAAACTCCGACGAGGAGGGGAGAGCAATGTTAGTCATTCGAGCAGAGCTGGTAATGATGCCACGAGGTGATGATGCCTTCCGGCAGAGCGCGTGCAGGAACGAACGCGGGCAAGTTTCCGTTTTCACTCCAACAGTGTGTAAATGTGGCCGTTTAGTTCTAATTTCTTTTGAGGCAGTGCAAACACCTCCCTTCGAAGCTCTCAAATTCTCACCGAGGAAGGGGTACCTTCCAAGTCAATCGACATCAGCTTTGATGATGCCTATTAGAAGACAATTCACTGCATTTCCTGAACCGGTGTGGTTTCTCTCACAGTTATACCAAACCACACAGCTGCTCTGAAGGACTGACGTGATTATTAGCCCGTGATGGTATCAGGAGAAGAGTGAGTTATAACACATCTCACAGAAGGCGTGCTTGGTACTGCTTTACGGAACAGCAGCTCAGGGACGTGAAGGGTAACTAACTCCTCTGAGCTAGAAAGCATTTAAAGAGCTTTCCGGCGATGGCATTCAAGGAGGGTACTAGGCTGGCTCTTTTCTTCTATCTGCCTTCCAGAAGCAGGGCCCATGATTCAGGTGGCCGTTTGGTAACCCCGCAATTCTCAAGGCTGCCTCACAGTAAACAACACAAGTGACATAGTTTCTAACTAGACAAATGCTCTTTTAAAAACAGTTTTTCTCTTTTCCAACCACGGATGGCCGCTTAAAAGGAAATAAAGACCTCCCAAACAGCAATGCCAGCATCTGGTATTTTGCAAAAATCACGTGCTTTCTCATGCCTTTAATTTTCTCCCTAGTTATCCCTTCACCTGGAAGCCTTTAACAACGGCTCGAAGACACTTACATCAACAACTTATATCTGGAAGAAGCCAAGCAGATGAAAATCTAGTCAGCTGTCCATGAAGCACATATTAAAATGCCTCTTTTGCCCTTAATGTTGCTTTGGAAACCCATGTTTTTTTCTTCTTCCCTTCGCTGAGAATCTGAGAAAAAGCCCAATCCCAATCCACTCTGGTATACCTTTCTGCTAACCACGCCTCCTGCAGTCGAGATTAGACAAGAGACCGAGAGGAAGATGCTTCCCCGTCACTGTGCTTGAATGTACCTGGGAACACACACTTTATTCAGCTTTGGTACAACTTTGCTAAGAAAAGCTGTGACAAAGCAAGAGTCAAAGAAAGCTGCATAAAAAGGGTTTAATGCATTTGGCAGTGGTTATCCTAGCAGCTAATAAATTTCCTGATTCCCCTACTTGTTCCCTCGTAGGCTGGCTTTGAGTTCTTCTGTTTGGTTTCCGACTCGAACCGTCAGGCATTCTACCAGTTCTGGATCCTCCAGCAAAGGCCCCTCAGGAGGTGCACCAGGAGCAGACACCACCCTGTACATCTCTTCTGGGTCATCGAAGCCCAGGCAAGCCCTTGCTCAAGCAAGTGGAGGAGGGAAGGAGGCAGCCAAGTGTCACCATTAGATTCAAATCCTGAATCTGCTGCCGCCACTGTGGGTGCTGTGACGTGTGTCCACTGCAGCTTAACTTTATCCCTTCCGGCGATGGGACCGCTCTCCTGCCACCCAAACTGACAACCTGCTAGCCCTAACAGCTGAAAGAAACACCACTCAAAACGAACTGCCAAGGGCAGAAGGTGTGGCTTTGGGAGCCCAGGATAGAGCATCTAGGTTACCACAGCACTGCGTTCATCCTCAGAGCCTTCGCCCGTCCCGTCAGCTCATCAAGTCCAGCTCCCACAGCTGATATCCCTGCTCTACTAAGGGTTACTGCCATTACCAGGGACAGTCAAGAGTCAATTGGTGACAGAGAAAGAGACATAAAAAGGTTTCCAAAGGAGCCTCTGACCTAGAGGAGCGCTTCACACATTTAGACAAAAAGGGGTTTCTCAGGTTTCAGAGAATATGCTGACTTCATATCCGGAAAGGTCAGGAGATTGAAGAGATATTACAACTATCATGGTTTGATGCTGCTTAGATCAACAAGCAAGCATTTCCTGGGCACCTACTATGTGCTCAGATCTGGACCCTCTGCTGTGGGCAACGAGGCAAAGAGGAGGATGAAGAAGCAGCCTGAGACACTTGCTCACAAACCTCAGTGCGCAAGAGCTATCTGTAGTGAGTTTCTTGGGCTCAGCAACCCCAGAAATTCTGACTCATCGAGCCTGGGGTTGCTAAATCTGCAGCTTTAATACGCACGTCCAGGTGATTCTGATGGGGGAGGTGCTGGGGCTTAGACCACCTTTGAGAACCACCAGGCTATGATCTGATTCCTGCCCTCAAGTCTGCAACTCACAAAGCAATGCACAGCCATAGAGTTTGGTTTTGTTTTGTTTTGTTTTGTTTTTGTTTTTTTTAAGATGCAGGCTCTAATTGTTACAGGAGCTCATAAGGAGAGGCCAGTCAGTAAGTCCTGAGCATTCAGGGCAGACTTTGTGAACATGAGCCGGGCTTGGTGGTCAGGCAGGACTTGGATAGAAAGAGACAGCCCCCTGCAGACGTCTTAACTCAAACTCCCAATTCAGCAGGACAAGGCAAGAAGACAGGTGGAGACAGGAACTACAACGCTGTCACCAAACAGGTAGAGAGGCTTCCTATGTTGACTGCAGGGAAGAGACTGTCACCAGGAGAATCATAAAACTGGCATCTCCAGATAACACTGTTTGCGTTTTCATTCTGCCGCATTCATGTGGTTTCCTGCACTTCGTAATTTAACATTTGTAAGAGAAAAAAAATGCTGTTATGAAACCCAAATAATGCACTGCTCTGAGGCAGACAGCCAGCTGCTAACAAGAGTGACATCTGAGCATCATTTAAAGTGTCATTTGCAGCTCTGCTTCAGAAAAGGGACATTTAGTAAGAAAGGGTTCCGTTCAACATAAAACAAAGTTTGGGGCTCCACAGGGTTAAAGAACTGGCAGATAACCCATAACACAGTGACTGCAAGCACAGAGAAAGAAGAAGTGAGATCCCCAACAGAAAAATAGAAGACAATGATTCAAAAGAAACCTATCTCGTTTATTCGAATATTATATTCATAGAACACTGCGCCATGTTTTCTGTAATGCTGCAAGGGAATAAATTACGAACCAGATACTGCAAGACCCGCTTGACCAAAGGGCTGAGTCACAAGATCAGTGCCAGGAGGAAGGAGGACCCCAGGTGCCTCTGCCACCTTTTCTTCACACTGGCTGGTCCAGGGAGCCCCCTGCGAATGATGACTTGCCAAGGGCACACGATAAATTCAGATCAGCAAGAATCAAAGGGTAGTATTATTTAATTAACTTCACTAGAGTGAGCTGTGGAATTTTAAATTTGCAAGCAACCTCGGACATCATCAAGATAGTGGTGTTTTTACAGGTGACTCATTTCAAGAGGGTGGATACATTGTCCAAGGTCACCAAGATATGTGAGCAGAACTGGGCTTCCATCTGAGGTCTCTGTTTCCAAGAAATACATTGAACTAGACCGATGAAACTTCCTTGGAAGTCCACATTATTTTGCTGTAGGGTTTGGAATTTAATATTTATTTATAGTTTGGAGCATTTGCATTCCACCCCCAAGGCTGTCATTCAGGGTACCAAGACCGTCATTCAGGGTACCATGTTTAGTTAAAAGGTTCTCAACGGACCCTGTTGAACAGGATCTGGAAACTCCCAATGCCTCTCACCTTGCTCATCCCAATACTTCACTTATAGGATAACAAACATGCCAGTAGATTGAATACTATCTCCGGTATGATTAATCCCCTATGCTCTCCACTGAAATGGAATATATGGAAGATAAAGTTTGTTGTTTGTGTGTTTAGTTGTTTGGGTTTGTTTTTTTTTTTCTTTTTGGTCTTTCCTAACCACAAATGCATTCTGCTCAAATCCTTCTATTCTGCAAATTTCAGAAAGGAACACACTAAGTCAGTGTCATTGCTCTCTTGGCTCAGCAGCCCTGGATCAACATTTCCTCAACATCCTGTTGCTTGGGTTGTAGAGAAATAACCATGAACTTGAATAAGATGGCCTGGGACACCAAATGAACGATGATGGATGAAATTTACAGCTAATGAATGCCAAGTCCTTCGGATGACTTACCCAAGACCATCTGCATTTCAAAACCGTTCGTGCAGGCTGAGGTCTTCTCTTTCTTGTTCATGGTCTGTAGCAGCACTACTTTGGAGGCCTCAAAATAAACTCTTTCATTTTGCTCCAGAATGCTGCAGTGAAACAAAACACAACACCAAGTCAGAATGAAAAATAAATGCCACTTCAAGCAATTCGTTGATATTCAGGGGGAAATCCCTGGCCTTTCTCAGATGTATACTTTATAACCTCAAACAAGCATGTTAATTACCAGAATGAAGCTATCGCACAATTGATCTCCATATGGAGCCCCAAAATACTGGTGATGGGGAGGGAGGGAGGAAGAAGAAAACACAAAGCGCCTGCCCGACAGGTGCTGCATCTTATGACATCTACCACTGGTAATGTGCTTGCAAAATTTCAAGTTTACTAACCGAAATAAGTAAATAAAGAAGGGTTCATTACGTTAAAACAGAGATACTGATGTGCAGTTCTCGAGGGCAGAAAGTGGAGAAAGTTATGTTTCAAATTAAAATTCATCTAATTCTGCCCATGAAAGACTCAGACTGAATGAGCCAACAGTAATATTTTTAAATGAAGGCTACTTACGATTGAACAGAAAAGGCCAAGTGTGACAGACAGGACATTTTCCATTTTGCACTACAAATAGGTAATTGATGGGTTTTCATTCTGACTCTTGACATATCTTGATAAATACCTTCTCCACCCAAGCTGGAAAGCGGCATTTACTTTACACACTGAATATGAAATGAACGGGTAGAATATGCATGCCTCTTTACCCCCACTCAGAGCAGCTGATAAAGCCCACACATTAGAACTGTGTGTGACAAGGTCGCTCTGAAAAGTTCTCTTCTGCCCTGTGAGCTTCCAAGGCTCACTTGTCACAGGGTGTTGTTCTAGCCTCTTCTGATGCTTAGTCAAATCCACCCCACTGTTTGTTCTTTGACAATGGCCATTTGAGAGCCTGGAAACGGTCTTCAAAAGGCGTTTGCATCCTTTTTGAGCCTTTTCTGAGCTCTTCCGCATCTATTCGGAAAGCCCATTGGAAGGTTGTCACCCTGTTCTCTAACTACGGTGACCGCATCCTACTTGTAACTGTAAACCCTCTATGAATCTCCAAAGGTCCCCAGGCAATTGCCAAAGCTCATCATCAAATGACCCAATTGTAAGAGAGAGGATATACTTCCTGTGCCTCACTAGGTTGCTGTGTGAATAATCAATTCCTTGAAAGCCTTCTGAAGCTATTACTTTATAGAATACACAACGTTTTTTAAAAGGGCTTTTTTGGGGGGGAGTTGTGTATTACTGGTTAAATTCACGGAGGCACTTAGAGATTTTGAGGAGGAGAAAGCCGCTCTTGGTTAACGTTTAAACAAGTGAGTTGGGTGTAAGGCCGTTATATTTTCAGTCTAGCTGGAAGAGCGACTGCCTGAAAATGGCAAAGGCTTTTTTATTTTCTTGATGCTAGCAATACCCACCGAAAGTGAGGTTCTAACGATTTTATTAGTTTTCTGAGCAGTTTTCATGAAATGTTAACTCAGCTCCCACTCAAATGGTGTTAACAGTAACATATTGATACAAATCAACACTGAGCCAGGAAGTTCAAAGCATGACAAACTGTTGTTAGCTTACCGCTTTGGTAAAAACAGAATTTGGAGAGAGAAGGATTTAAGTGAGCCCACTGAGAGTTATTGGCTGGTATCAATCTTCTTTTACTAAAAATAAACTGCTGCAATTCTCTTATTTGTTTCCAGCTTTACGTCCTGGTACTTTAGAACTGGAAATGTCTTTGTCATCTAGTCCAAGATTCTTCTACAAATAAAGCTGCTGGCCCAGAGAGGGTGAGGAACCTCTTAAAATCACAGAGCAAGTTAATCTGTGCCTTGACTAGACTCTGGGTTTAATCACTCATGTCCACCGACTCTTAACGGGCATGATGTCACGGAATGTAATGTTAGGTGTTGGTTTGAAAAGTTTACCAAAAGCACAATACTTTCTCATGGTACTCTTTCTCTCTTTTTCTGTTTTATTCTTGCCCTAAAGAAAGAAATTTCTTTCTGGACTATATTCTGGTCACCAAGTAGAGCCAATTGATCTGGGGGAAGCAGAATGCCTCTATTATTAGCTCAGGGCCCTTTACTGGCTGCCAAAGACAGGTGTCCAGAGGAGTAAGGCTTAGACTATTTGCAGAGGAGAAAAAAAAAAAGACTCATCTAAGTGACAAGATTTTCCATTCTTATCTCTGTAGATGTGAAGAACGTGAAAGTGATTCATTTTGTGATTTATAGCTGACCCTCAATTACACATAGTGCAACAAGCATGAAACAATTTTTGAAACAATTTTTATCAAAAGAAAACCACTGAAAATTCTACACACCTCCTTTTAAGCAAGAACTGCAATATATTTCCCTCCTTCGGCCAACTTTTCAGCAGTGCTGCTAATCACCCACCAAACAAACTGGCTTGAGTTTAATCTCCTTTGCCTGCACATTCTTGTTTGCCAGCTGAAGTTACAAACAGAGATAAGACCAAAAGTCCAGAAAGGAGAAAAGAATGCCAGAGGCCTAGAGCATTCATTGATATGCCGGAACACTGAAAGTTAGCTACGTAAACAAGGATTTCACTCCAGATGATATCCTTACAGGATTTTAAAATTTGATGAGTATTTTTTGATAATTTTCTGAACAGTTATAAGCAGAAGCAGAAGCAAAGTACCCTATATCAATGTAAATCAAAAGCTGTGGTCTAAAAGCCGTGAGATTTTTTTTTTAACCTTAGTTTTGCAGCTAAGTGGATTTTTAAATTTAAGTCACAATCTCCTAAGTAGAATTAGTTCCTTATCTATCAAATAAAGGGACATAAGTATTCTCCATAACGAATTCTCAGTGATAATTCAAGTTGTTTTTATATGCAACTGAGTATACCATATCAAATAAAATCTCTACAATTTTACCTTATATGATTTATTAAAATTCATTTTTATCCTAAAATCCAACAACCAGACACAGATTGCATAGAAAGAGAGTAATGGGTTCATGGTGGAATAACCCCTCAGTGGGGAATTAGTGTTCTAATCCATAAATAGTGCTGGGCAAGTTAGCTTTCCATCTGGAGAGAGTCAGATCCCTCCCCTACACCATTCAGAAAATAAATTCTAGATAAGTTAAACATATTAATATGTGTTTACACAGACATACATTTATACGGCATTTATTATACATATTTATATCATCTTATAAAATAAGATACAAAAAAATAATGTTATAACCACAAAAGGCCTTGTAGGCCATTGTACAGACTCTGGCTTTCTACTTTAAGTAAAATGGGAAGACACTAGAGAAGCCTGAATGAGCAAGGTAATGATCTGCCTTATGTTTTAAGGGATCTTTCTGTCTGTTGTGTGAAGAATACATTATAATGGGACAAGGCTGAAAACAGAGCCCACTTAGGCTACTGCAAAAATTCAGGTGAGACAATACATGGACCAACGTGGTTATACTGGGGGAGGAGGTTATGAGAACTGGTGAGATTCTGGATTTATTTTGAAGGTCAAGTTGACAAATGGTATAAGAGAAAGAAATGAGTAAAGGATCTTTCCAAATTTTTGACCCAATCATCTCTAAGAATGGAGCTGCCATTCACCAAGATGGAAAAAACTGGGAAAAGCAGGTGTTGGGGAGGCCGATTTTTCCATATTAAGTTTAAGATGTCTATTAGACATCCTAGTGAGGTATCAGGTAGACCCATGGATGGATACATTGGAATTCACCGACATGTGGACAGAAGATACAAGTGAAAGCATGAGTTACTGTTATAGGCAGCCTCCAAGATGGTTCCCTGTGATCCTACCTCTTGATATTCATGCCCTTGTATAATCCTCTCCCCATGAGTATGGACTGGATTGAGTGCTTCTAGCCAACAGAGTGGGGCAGTGGTAATGGAACGTCATTTCCAAGATGAGGCTCCAAAACGACTGTGGCTTCCATCGGGACCTCTTGCATTCTCTCCTGGATTACTCACTCTGGGGGAAGACAACTGCCAGACTGTGAGGCCATCCTGTGCAGGGGCCCACGTGGCCTGCTGCCATCTGTGTAAGTGAACTTGGAAGCAGATCCCAAGTGCACACACCCCACCCCCATCCTTCAGATGAGACTGTAGCCTGGGCTAACGGCTTAACCGTAACCTCACGAAAGGCCTTGAGCCAGAGACGCCCATCTAAGAGGCGCCCTGATTCTTACTCATGGAAAGGTGAGATCATAAGTATTTGCTGTTTTAAGTCACCAAGTTTTAGGGTAATTTGTTACATAGCAATAGATAACTAAGACAGTTACGATGTGCAAGGCACTGTCTAGAAATTTTAGATGACTTTTTACAGTTGGAGAAACTGAGTCACAGAGAAGTTACATCACATATAGGGGATGATGGAGGTAAGAAACAAACGCAGATCATCTGACTCCAGAGCTTCAGCTCTTAATGACCGCATGTCAAGACCCGTCTAGAGTAAAACAGATAGCTAATGGGAAGCAGCCGCATAGCACAGGGAGATCAGCTCAGTGCTTTGTGACCACCTAGAGGGGTAGGATAGGGAGGGTGGGAGGAGGGAGACGCAAGAGGGAAGAGATATGGGGACATATGTATATGTATAGCTGATTCACTTTGTTATAAAGCAGAAACTAACACACCACTGTAAAGCAATTATACTCCAATAAAGATGTATAAAAAAATTTTTTTAAAAAGACCCTTCTAGAATAACCTATTCTCCTACTTTGAATGTGCATACCTGAAATCTGACTTTCTACTGCAAAACGTGCTCACACAACATAGTTCATATAATCAACGGCCCATATGCATTTTTACCACATTTCTTAAGTTGCCACATAGCTTTACAATTCTTCAATTTTTGATATCCCAAATACACTACAATCTATACTCAACTGTCAAAGAAGATGGAAAAGCAGCCTCTTGCTGCGTGAAGAGTAACCTCAGTCTGGTTAATCTCAGTCTGGTTAACCTGGCTGATTTAATTATCAAAGAATTTCCAGCACAGTTTGCTAACGCTCTAATATATTCCTATAAACTGAATGTGGTTCTTTTGCACATGTAAAGAGTTCTC